ACTCTCACACAAACTGTACCACTCACACAAATACACAGAACCCTTCACACACAAACACCCCCTCTTACGCAAATACACTACATCCCCCCCCACACACACACACATAGGATGGCTAGAAGGTTGGAAGAGATTTTAAACTAGTAGTAGGGGGGGAGGGTCATAGCAATCTACAAAATGTAGATAGGACAGAAAGGAGATGGGCTTTAGCACAGTACAAGGGGGGTGGAGACGGGGGCAAGCTCAGAAGAGAGAAGCTGTGTAATGTTCATAATTCACAAAATATACAAGTGACGCATGATATTAAATGTATGCTTACTAATACAAGGAGCCTAAATAACAAAATGGGGGAACTAGGCATTAGCATACACTAAACAATGATATAATAGGCATAACTGAAACATGGTGGGATGAGACACATGACTGGGCAGTTAACTTAAATGGGTACATGTTATTTAGGAAGGATAGGAAAAACAAGAAGGGTGGTGGGGTATGTTTGTATGTCAACCATGATTTAAAGCCAAATCTTAAGCAAATGGAATGCGGTGAGGAAAATGTGGAATCTTTATGGGTAAATATCTGCTTGAGGGAAAAGAAGGGAAACCAACTATTGGTTGGGATATGTTATAAACCACCTAATGTTAATATTGACGAGGAACAACAGCTGTTTGAGCAAACTGAGAAAGCTGCAAATCTGGGTAACACTTTAATTATTGGAGATTTTAATTACCCAGACATAAATTGGGACAGAGGGACTAGTAGCTCAGCAAAGGGAATTAGCTTTTTGAACTTGTTAAATGACACCATGTCACAACTTGTACAAGCACCAACTAGAATGGATGCTTGTCTGGACCTGGTTTTAACAAACAACGTTGATCTTTTGACCAACATTCAAGTAGGTGAGCACTTGGGAAATAGTGATCACAATATAGTGTCCTTTGAAATAAACTCAAAAAAACAAAAGCACATGGGGAATACTAAAACATATAATTTTAAAAAGGCCAATTTCAATAAGTTAAGGGAAGCTTTACAATATATTGACTGGCATAAACTCTTTAGTGAAAAGAACACTGAGGATAAATGGATCATCTTCCAACAAATATTAGAAAGGTACATTTCTCAGTATGTACCGTTGGGAAATAAATATAAAAGAAACAAATTAAAACCAATGTGGCTTAGTAGAGAAGTAAAACAAGAGATTACAACTAAGAGAAGGGCATTTAAAGCATTTAAATCGGACAAATCAGATGCATCTTATAAAAGATATAAGGATGCAAATAAATGCGTGCAAAAAGGCAATTAGACTTGCTAAACTTCAAAATGAAATGATAGCTGAAGAGAGCAAAACCAACCCCAAAGCATTTTTTAAGTACATAAATTCTAAAAAAAAACAAAATGAAAGTGTAGGTACACTAAAAACTGAAATGGGGGTGTTAATTAATGAAGACCAGGAAAATGCAGGAATTTTAAATAACTATTTCTCCTCCGTATATATTAAGGAAGAACCTATGGCAATAGATGTGCAAATGATTTCTACTAAAAACTTGCAGAATAATTGTAATTGGTTAACTCAAGACAAGGTGCTGCAGCAACTAAAGAAAGTTAATATAAACAAAGCTCCAGGGCCTGGCGGTATCCATCCACGTGTACTTAAGGAACTAAGTGTAGAAATAAGTGAACCTCTGTTTTTAATCTTTCAAGATTCTTTTCTTTCAGGAAGTGTTCCGGAGGATTGGAGGAAGGCAGATGTGGTTCCTATATTCAAAAAGGGTTCAAAATCCTTGCCTGGAAATTATAGACCTGTGAGCTTAACTTCTGTGGCTGGGAAAATATTTAAAAGGTTATTAAGGGATAATATTCAAGAATTCCTTGAGAATAATATGGTTATCAGCAAAAATCAGCACGGTTTTATGAAGCACAGGTCATGTCAAACTAACTTGATTGCGTTCTATGAGAAGTATAGATCAGGGTGTTGCAGTGGATGTTATCTATTTGGATTTTGCCAAGGCATTTGATACAGTTCCACACAATAGATTAGTGTTCAAACTCAAGGAAATCTGTCTAGATGAAAATGCTTGTTCTTGGGTAGAACATTGGCTTAAAAACAGAGTACAAAGAATTGTCATTAATGGTAAATTTTCAATCTGGACAGAGGTGGCAAGTGGTGTCCCCCAGGGGTCTGTTCTGGGACCCCTTATATTTAACACATTTATAAATGATCTTGAAGACAGCATTGAAAGTCATGTTTCAGTGTTTGCAGATGACACAAAACTTTGTAAAATAATACAATGTGAGCAAGATATTACTTTGCTGCAGAGGGATTTAGATAGACTGGGGGACTGGGCGCTCAAATGGCAGATGAAATTTAATGTTGAAAAATGCAAAGTTATGCACTTCGGCATAAAGAATACACAAGCAACGTATACCCTTAATGGAAGCGAATTAGGGATAACAACACACGAAAAGGACTTGGGAATTGTTATAGACAACAAACTATGCAACAATGTGCAATGTCAATCAGCAGTGGCCAAGGCCAGTAAGGTATTGTCATGCATGAAAAAGGGCATTAATTCTCGGGATGAGAATATCATTTTGCCTCTTTATAAATCACTGGTAAAACCACATATTGAATATGCTGTGCAATTTTGGGCACCTGTTCTAAAGAAGGATATTATGGCACTAGAAAAAGTGCAGAGGCGGGCTACAAAATTAATAAAAGGAATGGAACATCACACCAAAGAGAAGCAGTTCCTGCTATCACATTAGGAGTGAGTTAATTAAATGTTTGACCAAATACAGCAGGCTAATTTTTAAGTTGATAATTTTGTATGGCCTGCGAATTATGTTTTAAAAATCCAAATGGCCCTTGGCGGATAAAAGGTTCCTCACCCATGCCTTAAAGGGACACTTAAGGCATCATAACCACTACAGCTTAATCTAGTGGTTCGGTGGGGGGGACTGTGCTTAAAGAGACTCTCCAGTGCAAGGAAAATAAACCCCTTTTTCCTGGCACTAGAGAATCCTGGAGTGCCCCCCTCCCGCCCCCATCCCATGTCGTTGAAGGGGTTAAAACCCCTTTGGCTACTTACCTGAATCCAGCGCCGATGTCACGCTCTGCTCCGCCCACACTCCTCCCCTGCTGACGCAATGGCTGCGCGCACATTAGACCTCCCCATAGGAAAGCATTATGGGGAAAATCTGATGCTGGAGGTCCGTGAGGACGTCCAGCGTCAGATAACCAACCAAAGGTCGGTTTGGATTCCAGAGTCCCTCTAGTGGGCAGACTTAGAGCTGCAATGCAAGCATTGCAGTTCTCTGGAACTGCAATGTTTTACATTGCTGCACTACACCCTGTTCCAAATTATTATGCAAATGATATTTTTCTCATTTACCTAAATGTATGTAATATACAAATGTATGTAAATAACAGACAGCATAATTCTCATGTTATCAACTATTAAGAGTACAATTTAAATATTATTGAACAAACCTCCTAATGATAACAGTATTTTTTTTTAAACATAAAAAACTTACAATGCACTGTTCCAAATTATTACGCACAGTAAGTTTCAAAACACTTTATAGGTTGTAAAGAACTGAAAATTGTCATTTGTTGTGTTTGCAGCATATTTACTGAAATCAAAAGCTATTTCAATCAAACTTACAACAACATTTTAACTTTTTAAACATTTTAACAGGTCACGTTACATTTTAACATAGGACCCCTTATTTGATAGCAGCTTCACAAGTCTTGCATCCTTTGAACTTGTGAGTTTTTGGACAGTTTCTGCTTGAATTTGTTTGCAAGATGTCAGAATAGCCTCCCAGCAGGGGCGGACTGTGAATTCAAAGCAGCCCTGGAAAGAAAATGTATGCCAGCCCCATAAGTCCTTGTGCCACGTAATGTGTATGTGCAGGGCCGGTGCTTGGATTTTTAGGTACATAGGCGAAGATGCCTTTTTCCGCCCCCCCGCACCCCCCCCGAAAAAAAACATCTTCATCTATGTGCCTCTTAACCAGCCCCTCTCCCCTCCCTGACCATTAGTAGTCCCTTCCCTTCGTGTTCTTCTCCCCTCCCCCCTCTTTTCCCTGTCTCTTGGTGTTTCTCTCCCATTCCCTCCCTGTCCCTTGGTGCACCCCACACCCCTTTAGTGGTCACACTCCCCTTCCTGGTGTGCCTCCTACCTCTATTGTTGCATTGCTGAGTGGAGCAGATCCCCTAAAGGAGCTTCAGTTTTCTGTACCCGGCCGGACTGACAGGGAGTGCTCTCTCTGTGAGCACCTCCTGTCAGTCTGGCCAGGTACAGGAAACAGAAGCTCCTGTACCGCGCTCTGCTCCGCTACACTCTGAACACACTGACAGTCACACACTCAATGAAAAACACACAGACGTCACTGACAGACACAGACTCATTGATCTGACACACACTCATTCATTGACACTGACAGACCCACACTGATTGACACTCATTGACAGACACACTGATAGTCACACACAGACTCAATGACAAACATACTCTCACTGATTTGACAGACAGACACACTCATACACTCGCACACACACTCATACAATCACTCACAGACACACACACTGTCACTCACAGACACACACACTTTGTCACTTACACACACTTTGTCACTTACACTCACAGACGTACACACTGTCACTCACACACACTGTCACTCACAGACGTACACACTTTGTCACTCACACACACTGTCACTCACAGACGCACACACTTTGTCACTCACACACACTGTCACTCACAGACACACACACTGTCACACACACACTGTCACTCACACACACTGTCGCTCACAGACACACACACTCTGTCACTCACAGACACACACACACTGTCACTCACAGACACAGACACACACTCACAGACACACACACTGTCACTCACAGACACACACAGTCACTCACAGACACACACCCAGTCACTCACAGACACACACCCTGTCACTCACAGACACACACACACTGTCACTCACAGACACACACACTGTCACTCACAGACACACACACACAGACACACACAGTCACTCACAGACACACACACACTGTCACTCACAGACACACACACACACACAGACACACACTGTCACTCACAGACACACACACTGTCACTCACAGACACACACACTGTCACTCACAGACACACACACACAGTCACTCACAGACACACACACTGTCACTCACAGACACACACACACACACACACACAGACACACACTGTCACTCACAGACACACACACACTGTCACTCACAGACACACACACACACGCAGACACACACTGTCACTCACAGACACACACACACAGTCACACACACACACACAGTCACACACAGACACACATCACATGCATTCACTAATTATTTTATAAATACATATTTTCCACCCAGCCTCCCTACCTGGAGAGCTGGTGTGGATTATGGATCGGTCCCTGGGGCTGCTGGGAGGCGTGCGGCAGTGCTGTGAACAGGCGCGGCGAGGGAGCTCTAATCTCCACCCTCTGCTCCCTTGCGGGCTGCCTGCTGATGCCGCGGGAGCCGGGTTGATGACGTCATATTCCGGCTCCCGCGGCATCAGCAGGCAGCGCGCGAGGGAGCAGAGGGTGGAGATTAGAGCTCCCTCGCCGCGCCTGTTCACAGCACTGCCGCACCGGGGGTCGAGATGGTGGCCTGGCAGGAGGGAGAGCTTCCCTCCTGCCGGTCACTGAAATATTGCGCCCCCAGAGCCCGTGCGCCCTAAGGCGGCCGCCTGTGCCGCCTTATGGACGCGCCGGCCCTGTGTATGTGTGTATATGTATATATATATATACACACACACAGTTCAATCTTGCCTTGCACTCCTGCTTTAATATAATCACTGTTTTAATACCGTGTGCTAGACTGTGGTCACAAGCCCATATAAACAAACCCAAAAGGTAGTCTGCACTCACGATTTCTTTTAAAACGGAGCATTTATTTCTACATATAAAAAAATAACACTTACATAAAGTGCTAGAAGTGCATAGCTGGTCAACATTTCAGTCCCAGTTTGGGATTTGTGTTGTTGTCCTGGGAAAATTCCCAATCAATGAATGAATCAATCAGTAACATTATCACTGAATTAAAAAAGAAACATAAAAATAATAAATTATATATAAATAAAATTTATTATTGGTATGTTTCTTTTTTAATTCAACACATTTAATGAAAAAAAAATGTATACAGTAAGTATACTCAAATACAGGCACAGACAGTCTCACTGACACAAACACACTGATACACAGGCTCACAGACAAACAAGCTCACTGACACAAAACACAAATAGTCTCATTGACACAAGCAAGCTTACTGGTATACACATAAACTTTGTACAGACAAACTTACGACAGATAAACTCACTTCTACACACACACAAGCTTACTACAGACAAACAAACACCCAAGCTCATTGACACACACAAGTTCACTACAAACAAGCTCACTGACACACACACGCTCACTACAGACAATCTCACTGACACACACATGCTGACTGCAAACAATCTCACTGACACACACGCTCACTGCAGACAATCTCACTGACACACACACGCTCACTGCAGACAATCTCACTGACACACACACACGCTCTCTGCAGACAATCTCACTGACACACACGCTCACTGCAGACAATCTCACTGACACACACACACGCTCTCTGCAGACAATCTCACTGACACACACGCTCACTGCAGACAGTTTCACTGACAAACACACGCTCACTGCAGACAATCTCACGGACACTCACGCTCACTGCAGACAGTTTCACTGACACACAAACAAACACACACTACAGACAGAGTATGTAAACCCTACCTGGCACTGGAGGCTGTGGGAGAATAAGTTTTCTCTGGGAGGCCAGGCCATTTTTAGGCCTCTTCCTGCAGCAAGGTCCACTGAATAAGTGCGGGGGCGGAGCCTATGTACAGAGGCAGGGCTTCCGAGCGGGGCGGAGCTTACATGCCGGCCGCATACATGCTAAAGAAGGTCCTGGGATTCTGTGTATAAAGTAAGAAGCTGTCTGGATGACACTGACATTTTGTGTATAATGGGGCCAGCGTGGACAGAATTTGTTTTTCATCAGCTGCTGTACAGATTTTTAACCCCTTAACGCCGTTATGGCGTTCTATGCCGTTGCGGCTTTAAAGGGTTTTAAAGCCGTTGCGGCAGCATAGAACGCCGTAACGGCTTTCAGCCCCAGGGGATCGGAGGTACTTACCTCCGCTGCGATCCTCTTCTGGAGGGCTGCCAGACCGCCCAGGCAGCCCTCCCCGGCGAATGAGGCCCCCGGGGCGATCACATGGCCCCCTATAGCTGAACTCAAATATTACTGTTTCAAACTTGTAAATTGTATTACAACGATGATATTTTAAGTAAAAGTGACGTTTTTTGCATTTTTTACAAACAAACGGCACTTTTATGGACTATATTATTGTTGTAATATGTTTTACTGTTTTAAAACACTAATATTTGTGTTTAGTGAAGTCTCCCGAGAATAACAATTCCCCCCATGTACAGGTTTTATGGTGTTTTGGAAAGTTAGAGAGTCACATATAAGGCTTGCATTTAATTTTTTTGACATTGAAATTTCCCAGATTGGTTATGTTGCCTTTGAGAGCGTATGGTAGCCCAGGAATGAGAATTACCCCCATGATGGCATACCATTTGCAAAAGTAGACAACCCAAGGTATTGCAAGTGGGGTATGTCCAGTCTTTCTTAGTAGCCACTTAGTCACAAACACTGGCCAAATATTAGTTTTTTGCATTTTTCACACAAAAACAAAAATGAACGCTAACTTTGGCCAGTGTTTGTGACTAAGTGGCTACTAAAAAAGACTAAACATACCCCACGTTAAATACCTTGGGTTGTCTACTTTTTCAAATGGTATGCCATTATGGGGGTAATTCTCATTCCTGGGCTACCACACCGTCTCAAAGGTAACATTACTAATCTAGCAAATTTCAATATGAAAATGGAACGTTCTATTTTTGACCCTTTAACTTTCCAAAGCACCATAAAACCTGTTAATGGGGGGTACTGTTGTACTCGTGAGACATCGCTGATTACAAATATGGGCATTTTGTTGCAGTAATACCTAACAGTATTACGACATAAACAGCTAAAATGTCAGACAGAAATACAAATTTTTTAAAGAATCTTATTTTTTCAATTTTTAAAAATTTTTATTCATAATAAATTATGTTCCATATATGAATAGTTAATGATAAATTAAAGCCCTGTTTCTCCTGAACAAAATTATATATAATAAGTGTGGGTGCATTTAATATGAAAGAGGTGAATTACGGTTGAACAGACATATAGCGCAAATTCCAGTTTTTGTTTACGTTTTGTTTTGATCAGAACGTGTACTATTGACTCCGTCCTGAAGGGGTTAATTTACAGCAATATCTGGATGCTTTTTTTTTTTTCTTCTGAAAAAAGCAAATCAGTATTGAAGTGTTTTATCATTAATTTGTGGGCTAACAGCTTATTGAGTCAAGTAGATATATTATTGCTATTTTGGACCCTAAAGAGATTTCAACCCCCTCCTCTTTAACTCTCCCGTATATTGTAAAGCAAAATTGGTGAGAAAAGCTGACATAAAGTGCGGTCATTGTGTACTATGCTGTGTTCTGTATGAACCGAGAATGCTGTATAATTGTTCATGAAATCAGTACTAAGCTGAATCATTTATGTATGAAGAGGCAGGCAGTGTGTACATAAGCTCTATATCTGTACATAAAGTGACCGTGTGTGTATAAGTCGGAGGGCAGTGTACAGTGATACATATTTGCTTATGAAGTGGGTACAATGTGTACAGTGCAGTAGGTTTGTGCATACAGTTCTGTGTGATTGTATATAAAGTGGAGAAAGTAAGCGGTGTGTGCAGTGCTGTAAATAGGAGTATACAGTAATTCTGGGGCATTGTTCTAAATGTGGAACAATAAGCAGGAATTTTTCATGTGTTTCTAAGTTAGAAATTTTACCCAGATTTGCCTGTTATATCAGCATTGATGGAATCTCCAGTAAGTTGGACCGTGTTCTGGTGAAAACCAGACTCTGCCTGGGAAGGGAGACTAAGTGCTCCCTCTGGCTGTCAGCAGCCTTGATGCGGCCACACCAGCCCCCTGAATTCCCTCGGACTGACAGAAGCTGTTACAGTCCGAGGGAAAAATTATTTAAATAAAATATTAGGGCTTCCTGTCGGCCCCAGGTGCCGTGGCCCACCGGGAAAATTCCCGGTATCCCGGTGAGCCAGTCCAGCCCTGCCTCCCAGAGCTGCTGTTTGGATGTAAACTGCCTCCCACCCTCATAGATCTTTTGCTTGAGGATGCTCCAAAGGTTCTCAATGGGATTGAGGTCAGGGGAGGATGGAGGCGACACCATGACTTTCTCTCCTTTTATCCCCATAGCAGCCATTGATGCAGAGGTATTCTTTGCAGCATGAGATGGTGCATTGTTATGCATGAAGATGATTTTATTACGGAAAGCATAGTTCTTCCTTCTGTACCTGCGAAGAAAGTGGTCAGTCAGAAACTCCACATACTTTGCAGAGGTCATCTTTACACCTTCGGTGACCTTAAAGGGGCCGACCAGCTCTCTTCCCATGATTCCGGCCCAAAACATGACTCCACCACCGCCTTGCTGACGTTGCAGCCTTGTTGGAACAGGGTGGCCGTCCACCAACCATCCACTACTCCATCCATCTGGACCATTCAGGGTCGCACGGCACTCATCAGTGAACAGGACTGTTTGAAAATTAGTCTTCATGTATTTTTCTGCCCAAAGCAGCTGTTTCTGCTTGTGAGCATTGGTTAGTGGTGGCCGAATAGAAGGTTTATGCACAGTTGCAAGACTCTGGAGTACTCTACACCTTGATGTCCGTGGGACTCCAGAGGCACCAGCAGCTTCAAATATCTGTTTGCTGCTATGTAATGGTATTTTAGCAGCTGCTCTCTTGATGGATGGATTTGGCAGAAATCTTCCTCAATGTGCCTTTATCTGCACGTACCCATGTGTGCTCTGAATCAGCCACAAATCTCTTAATAGTGCGAGGATCATGCTTAAGTTTTCGTGAAATCTCTAATGTTTTCATACATCGTCCAAGGCATTGAACTATTTCACTCTTTTCGGCAGCAGAGAGATCCTTTTTCTTCCCCATATTGCATGAAAATGGTGCTCTGCTTAATAATGTGTGTGACGAGACCAATCTCGCCACATTGCATTGGAGAAGCCAGGTTGCTCGCCTGTTGCCTTTGGACTAAGGCCCCATGTTAAAAGCTTTCTTTTCACCTTGAAAAGGCTTATTTAACGAGATGCCTGTTCATTCGGTA